CAACATCCCCAACAATCATATAACATTGCGGAACCAATCGTATAACATCCCCGACAATCGTATAGCATCGTGGAACCAATCGTACAACATCCCCAACAATCGTATAACATTGCGGAACCAATCGTATAACATCCCCGACAATCGTATAGCATTGTGGAACCAATCGTACAACATCCCCAACAATCGTATAACATTGCGGAACCAATCGTATAACATCCCCGACAATCGTATAGCATCGTGGAACCAATCGTACAACATTCCCGACAATCGTATAGCTTCGCGGAACCAATCGTACAACATCCCCGACAATCGTATAGCATCGGGGAACCAAAGGTATAACATCACCGACAATCGTATAGCATCGCGGAACCAATCGTACAACATCCCTGACAATCGTATAGCATCGCGGAACCAATCGTACAACATCCCCGACAATCGTATAGCATCGTGGAGCCAAAGGTATAACATCCCCGACAATCGTATAACATCGCGGAACCAAAGGTATAACATCCCCGACAATCATATAACATCGCGGAACCAAAGGTATAACATCTCCGACAATCGTAAAACATCGCAGAACTAAAGGTATAACATCTCCGACAATCGTAAAACATCGCGGAACTAAAGGTATAACATCCCCGACAATCGTATAACATCGCGGAACCAAAGGTATAACATCCCCGACAATCGTATAACATCGCGGAACCAAAGGTATAACATCCCCGACAATCGTATAACATCGCGGAACCAAAGGTATAACATCCCCGACAATCATATAACATCGCGGAACCAAAGGTATAACATTTCCGACAATCGTAAAACATCGCGGAACCAAAGGTATAACATCCCCGACAATCGTATAACATCGCGGAACCAAAGGTATAACATCCCCGACAATCGTATAACATCGCGGAACCCAAAGGTATAACATCTCCGACAATTGTATAACATCGCGGACCAAAGTATAATATCCCCGACATCATATACATAGCGGACCCAATCGTATACATC